TATATAACATGTAAATTAAGGTATCGGCTTACTTATAAAACGAACTTTAACGAAGCCAAATACTTCGTGCTTATAATCATAGGATATGTGAGCGTCTTTTTGTTCGTGCATGTATGTAACACTACATGAATGATAAGTGAGTTAGCGTGATATAATGACTTTAAATTCACAGGATTTTGTGCATTTCAAGGAAGTACATGTTTATGGAGTACATTTTAAGGAGAGCATCAAATGTTTCAGTATACCAATATATCGTCATTATTCTGCTTTCTGCACTCTGCAATATACCTTAATTGCTGCGTGCATGCTGTGTTTATTTGCTGTACAAACTGTTTATAGTTGGTTTATATACCTTTACATCTTGACCAGTTGACCTTTTACTTTAACAGATATAGGCCTATCGCTATTAAATCCGTTGTGACTGCATCTTTCCCTAATATTCCGGAGCTAACTAACATATGAATTATGGAAAATATTAGTAACAATAATTTAACTCAGCATGCACTGAGCATTTTAGATCTCAGTGCCGTGTTTCACAGGCATTAATATAGAGGAAATTACCAATACGCTATAATGGACACCCGATTTTTGATACTGAGCCATTTACTATAATTGAGACAATATAGCACTCGCGACAAGTTCCATCAACACAGATAATGGTTCTAGTTCTTGTTTCGTATAGCTACAGATACTATACGTTTAGTTTTAGGCCTTATAAATATAACTGATTGCGTATATAGTCGCGTTTACAGTAGAGACCTTTTTTTTTCTTTTTTATTGTTAAATATCCATCTTTGGCATATAGAAATACAATGGATTTACAAGTTAAAAATATATACTAAAATACATGTATAACCTATGAGAATGTAAAAATTAGAAAGTTTAAGAAGTTTTTATATACATATGTACAATGATCTAATTTCATGAGTTGGTTAATCTACACGCCCTTGGGATAAAAGACCTTACTTAAGTCACGGGCTTAAGTCTCATGTATATCAGCTGTGCCGTGTTATGCAAAAACACCGCCGCGTGTCTCCGGCTTTAGCGTCTTTTAATTTGTTGGTACGGAAATCGATAAAACTTTTGAAACGATGAAACGTTTGAAACGATGAAACGTTTATAAACACCAAAGTGATCTATTTTGTTTGTGCTTATACGCATGCTTTTGGATAAATGTGTGTTGGTTAATTCTGGATCAGTGTATAGCCTACTTGCCCGTTTTTGTATATTATTGTTCACTGCTTTATACCATTCTGTGCAGACCCGTTGAAACGGTTACCGAATATCGTTTGAACGGTTTCTTAATTTCGTTCGAACGGTTTGTTAAAGCCGTTCGTAGAGCCGTTTAATTTTTTGTCTTTACCCGTTCGTATTTTTTACTCAAAACGTCTAAAACGTTTTTATGATCCGTTGAAACGATTTGACAAAGCGTTTACTATCCGTTCGTTAACCGTTTTTTTGCCCGTTTTAATGCAAAATCGTTAACGTACGTTTTCCCAAGGAAGGTCACATATTATAAAAAAAATATAAAACATTTTTTCCATATTGATATATAGTTATATCAACACTCGTGGAAGTTGGGAAAACTCGAAATTATATGAAAACACTTCGCCCTTCGGGCGTCTTGTTTCCATACAATTTCTCGTTTTCCCAATTCCACTCGTGTTGATATGACTATATCAACACGGAAAATGTTTTATATTTGTTAAATCTTATACTGTAACTGTTTAACTGTAAACATCGTGAATAAAGTTATAAAGAGGCCGCTTTGAACCGAATAAAGTTATAAAGAGGCCGTTATAAACAACAGAAGAGTTCATGATAGATTGACAGTGACGAGAGTACGAGACGCTAAGATTATATTCAACTTTTTTGTGTTACAAAAATGTATGTTTTGAAATTATGAACTGGGAGTATGAATTCATTGATATTACTCTCATATTGACACTAAATGATGATATTCTTGTGACACTGAATGATCTAATAGTAATATTAACTTCAACAATTCTGGTCAATCTAGTGATCACGTTAGTTCATCATGTCTCTTCAAGACACAGGACAATTGCTAAATATATGCTTATTTCGCTATATATCAGAGCTCATCAGAATGCTCAGGAAAAAGTAAAGAAATTTCTATTTACATCATTCATCAACGAATCTTTCTTTCTCTTAACAGATTTATTGGGTTATATGATAATACAAATAATTTATAAACAATTATTATTAAAACACATTTATCCAAGGGATAGGCATAAATATGACTCAAGGGCTCGTGCCCCCCTGAAAGTACTGAATATACTAAATATAATTAGAGTTTGTGACATGAATTCAGGTAAACATCATTCACATAAGAACCTGTTTAGGCTAACTTGGAAAAAATCTAGGTTCTTATTATATGCAGATGTATATATATATATATATATATATATATATATATATATATATATATATATATATATATATATATATATATATATATATATATATATATATATATATATGTTAATCACCGTAGGTAAGTATTTTTTAGTGAACAGGAAAAGTTGAGACTGATACTATATATATATATACAGTATATAGATATACAGTATATATATATATATATATACAACAGAATAGCTGGCTACGATCCGAGAGAAACCAATACTAAAAATGTACTAAAGTAATAAAGTTTTAATTTTCGACTGAATGTCTCAGCCTTCCTCAGAAATAATATTACTAATAATTTCTAACGTATATATATACACCAATAATATGCAAATATTACAATAATGATAACTAATTAAGCTTAGTGATAGACAAAGAAGTCACTGTTGCACAAAATCATGACTATCATTTAACA